TCAATTGGCCAAAACTGTAATTGGTAGGTCAAGTTTTTTAAAAGCTTGAAATATTTTTGACTTGAAATCTGTTATTAAGGTTATTCAACCATTAGATTGGTGCAAAGCTTTGCTATACTATACCCAGTCAGTTTTCAAATGTTTCAGGAGCCACTGATCATTCTTGGGACTTACTTTAGTGCTAATAGGCTAATTCCTTTTAGCACAATCTGTACACAGCCCATCATATTGTTTTTTTGAAGCAAAAATTAATCCCCAGTGAACCAAAGGAAGCGGGGGGTTTTTTCAACCGTCATTTTACGGTTCAAGTCAAAAATATTTATTTTACAAGCGTCAGAAACGTAACAGAAAGTTTCCGGCTCAGGACTTTTGTGTGCATTTTTACAAAATTCATTAATTTATTAAACAATTTTAACGCATCACTTTTAATTTGTCAAAACTGACACATCAAAATCAATGTTAATTAATCGAAATGAACTCGTTAAAGTCTCACTCCTATTGCATACGTGTGCATGCCGCACTTTTCAGAACACTATAAATCTCTGGGAAGTTGCACCTCATTTTCCTGCCATTTCATGATTGTTTGCACCACTTTCTATTGATCTACATAAGAATCCCGTTAAGTTACATTGAAGTTTGTTGTAACATAAACGATGTGGAAAAGTTTAAAGTGTATGACTCCTTTTGCAAGGTAACAAAAGAGCTTTTAATTTTACTGGTGGTTCTTTAATTATAAGAAGGCTGAGGTTCATAACATTCCTCGCCTTGAGTTTACTGGAAGAAACGGCTTAGAAAATAAGCGGCTGCCTAAACGAATGACTAGTGGATGACATATTTGTAGATCAGGTGTTTTCTGAAGCCCTTCAACTTTCCCCCTCGCCTGCTAATTTTCATCCGCTGGCGTTTCTGCAGATGTGGCCACAGTGGCTCTTCTCAAAACAAAGCCGGCTGATGATCCAGTGAAAGCGGCAGATTAGCGCTCGCCCTCTCTCTATCAAAGTGCGTTGCTGTTTCTTTTGGACCCGAATCGGTGGGGGGCCCTCCTTCAAACCTCAGCTGCTAAAACAGCTTGTGCAGCTGCTCCGGGCCGCAGACGAATCTGATTTCTGCATGAATATTTCAGCTGCAGGAAAGCGCCGCGGCAGCCACCTGCTACCCAAGCCCATAAACGCTCCAACGCGGCTAATAAGTGGCCAGGGCCGGCTTTTGTTTCTCCCCTTGCTATCGGCTTACGTTTCCGAGCTCGGAGCCTCTAGGAAGGTGTGAGGCTCTTTCTAGGTTTACCCGTTTTGCATTGGATAATTAATCACATTCACTCGTTCATTTTACTACGTGGATGTAATGAAAGAACTCGGTTAACCCCCTCGGGTTTGGCTCTTTACGAGAAGTAGTATGGATTTATGCGTCGATTTAATTTATCATCAAGAAAGCAAAAGGTGTTTGTGCTTCATCGATCAGAGTGTATTGAGTGAACGCATTTTTCCTCTTTTCCAAGGATTTTGACAAGCAATCTGTGTGAGTGGTTCCTCTGGAACGTGATTGACCTGAACGACACCTGATAGCTTTGAGAATCGGCTTTCCTTTACCTCTAATCACACCATCAAGTTTGACAACACTGTTGTTCTGAAACCATTTCGTCTAAAAAAAAAAAGAAAAAAAGAAAAAGTCTTTCACAGAATTGGGTAAGATTTCTTCCTGAATGTTCACTGGCATTTCACACATTCTGGGAATTTGCTCTACATCGCTGGGATCTTGTTCAGACTTGCCACCTTGTAGGTAGCTGCTGTGTAGTAAGTGCTTTTGTCCATTAAAAAAACTAATTACTGTACAGAAATCCCCCAGATACGCCTCCTTAGTCAATGTTGCATAAAAGCAATAATGCTTAATACATTAGTGTGACTTAAACATAAAAGAAACGATGATTATGAGAGTAATTTATTTTGTAGGTTCATTAATTAATCAGCTCTCTACTGATTGGAGAAGATATTTACTTTGTATGTTTTTACTCTCTAGGAAAGACGGCCCAAAACTGAGTTTAAGTGAAGAACACGCACTACTAATCCTGTCACGTTACATTTTGCTGGACGACAAATATACACAATAACATTGTTGTTTTGGGAACATTTTTAAGTAATAAAATGGTAATGACAAAAATAATAATGCAGAGAACATTCTAAAAGATCTGTAAACTTTAAATTTTGATGAACATTTAACATTTTAACAAAACGACAAATAAAATGAAGTCTTTGTAAACAAATTGTTCTTCAAAAAAAATGGGGGGTAATTGAGACCAAAGCACCAAACTGAAGACTTTTAGCATCCGGTTTTTTGGTAGAAAGAGAGAAGAAAAGAGATAAATGGTAAATAATTGAGTTTGTTTTAATTTATCATGCGATTAATTGACTTATTGATTATTGTGACAGGCCTATGCACGGCTGATTAAAATTACAGCTTTATTAAAGAATTAGACATTAACACTTTTAAACAGTGTTTCATGTCCTAGCCACTGCCTGCGACAGCAGACCATGAAACTCATGTCTGCCATGTTTAAAACACACAACATTCTAAGTCCCATGATCATGTAAAAAGACCAAACTGGTTCCCTCTACCTTCATGGTGGGCATTATGTGGACAGGAAACGTTGAGTGCAGAGGGAGAAGTGCTTATCTGAGGGAGGAGATTGTAACCTCTGTTTGAAGGTGACCAGGAGCTGCTTTGTGTGCAAACGCAGCCCAGTAGAGACCCCCAGTGGGAGGAGACGAGATTTCACCGGCAGCAGCTCCATGACGGCACCTGAAAGTGACCTTTTCCATTTAGCATCTCTTGTTTTCCTGGGATCAATCATAATGTTATTTCATATTATTGATAGCTGATATTTAGTTGTTTTTTTTTTTAAACATTCTGTGGAAGGAAAAAATATTTGAATGTTTGTTTTTCTAGATGAATAAAATAAGTTGTAGTAATTTTGTATTAATCGTTGAAAACCAAACAATATTTTCAATATATAGTTCAATTTTTTTTTCCCCTCAGAATTGTGACATTACTGTGATTAGAGATTTCTAAATTTACTTTCTTTTTATCGCTTATCAAAGTGAGGAATAATTGCAAAATTAAAACTGAAGAGGCATTACTTACAACTTATTACTCGGGTTTTAATAAGTTTAATAATCCTGGTTTAATCATAAATGAGTGAAGAAAATCATGCTTTTTTTCCTGGCTATTTATTTGCAAACATTATTGTTATTATTTATTTTGCAGTCTGGACTTTTATTTCCTACAACAAACATACAAGGATTTTTTTTTTTTTGGTAATTTTTTTTATAGTATATTGAATCCATTTAGTTAATGACAGCTTCTGAAATATTTCTGCTTTATTTACACAATATCCCTAAATTTCTCACCTGTAAAGAGGCTCAACATTCAGTAGTTTTTAACCATTTTTTTCCCCCTGGATGGAAAATAAACAGACATTTTAGTTATGAGCTGTTGAAATATTTTTTATTTTCCGTCGACCAAATGTTTACCGCAGAGCGTAACTGCTGATAATGGTGTGTTCGTACCTCTACTTGTCCCCGCTCTTGGCTCCTCTTCACTGTTCTCGTCTGCATTTAGGAAATGCTGAGAACTTTCCAGCCTCCACATACGAAGCCGAATCACTGAGGCTTTTTAAAGTGCAGCTTCTCGCTGAATTGCGACTGACTTCTCACTTTCTTGATGGCTGAACTGACTGAACTTTAGCAGTTAGATGTTTTTTTTTTTTGCTTTTTTTCTGACTCGGTCCTCCCACTCCCTTGTGAGTCATTTAGTGGAGCTCCATGAGTCTGTCTGCTGTCGGGGGCTCCCCTCAGCACTTCTGCCTCTCTGTGGTACTCCACTGAGGCTGCCAGCTAATGAATCCACAGAAAGAGAAAAAAAAGAAAATCAGCAAACACAGAGACAGCTGTAACGGACACCAGCATGAGGTGAAACACTCTGTTAGGGAGCGGTTTTAGCATGCATTGTTTGAGTTTCAGGCTTTAATAAATAGTTTCTGAATGTTTCTTTCTACAGAACTGGTGAGTTTTTTGCTGCTAAATGCAGCAGAGTTTATGTTCCTGCTTGTTTTATGACTCGGGGTGCGGCCGAGTTTGGGTTAAAAACACCAGATTTTAGTGGGTAATTTAAAGGACAACCTGTTGAACTCTAATGGTGTAAAATTACCTGAAAGTGAGGACTGGGTAAATGTGACATTTTTTATTTAAATAAAGGTTATTTTTCAAAGTAATTTCAATAAATGTGCTTTAAAAATTCAGGCCGAGTCAGAATCAAATTTATGAATGTTTGCCTCTGAACTTTAGTTGCTGTAAAAACTTCAGTTTTGTGTTTACACTCAGATTCCTGCAGCTACGGCTAGGCGATAAATCGATTTTTATCAATTTAATTATCTTATTTTATTTTTTAAGCTTCCATTTTTATGGAAAAATCTCCCCCCGCCCCCCTAATAATGCATTTCTTGGTTTTTCATGGTTCAGAATGATGAGTAAAATGAGGAATGTTGAGCATTTTGTGAAGTTATACTTTAGTATAAGTTTTACAGATAAAACTTAATCGAAATACTTAATCTTTTAACAAATCAGCATAAAATTAGGACTTTGAAACAATTGTGCAAAATCAAAGAAGGAGCCATGGACTAAGTTGCTTGCATTAGATCATAACACAAATAAAGTTTTTTTTATTGTATTTAAATAATAATAATAAATTTTAAGAAACTAAATGGAAAAACTGTGTCTTTATTCTGCTAATAATATGAAAACATTCTTGTAAATAAACAAAAATTCTCATAGCATAGCCGTAATACTCTATCGTATGACACAGAAGGGAAGATTGAAATAAAAGCCCGGTCTTGAAAATATTTTCTATCATTTGTAATTTCTTTTTTTAGAAAATAAAGTGAGGAAAAATAAATTGTATTGTATCCTTTTTTAAAATTATGTCTTTTCCATCTCCCGGTTCTGTTTCAGGATGTACCCAATAAAAGAGGTTCCTATAGAGGCAGAGGCCCTGACTGACTGGCTGTATCAGAGGTTTGTGGAGAAAGAAGAGTTGTTGGCTCACTTCTACAACACAGGTATGTTTGTCCAGCTAAAATGTATCATTATTCTGCTGCAAAGTTACTTAAAACTACACTCAACCTTTTGTATTTTTGGTCTAGTTTTTGGTCTAAATGTCTTAGTAACTTACAAGTCAGAAAATTGTTTAAAAAACTGAAGGTCAGGACAAATATTAAAAATAATTGTTCTTCAATTGGAGGGATTCAGGTGTGGAATAATTGTTGTGAGGAGTTACAAGCTGTGTTTGCACTCTTTAAATTAAATATCAAAATTACCTGCTAATCAAATGCTATAGGGTTTAAATATGAGTAAGGGTTTGTCGACACACTCAACTGTTTTGATTTTGATAATAGAGTATGAATATTAAAAAGTGATGGTAGAAGATAAATACGCTTATGCTTCCATCTACACTTTGTGTTCTTGGCCTTGACAGGAAGTTAAATATTTATCTCTCAGTTTGTCCTTTCACTTTTTTTTGTTTGTTTTCAGCAATGTATGTTCTTTTTTACTTGTGTATGGAAGTGTTAAAAATTACCCCCCAAAAACATGAATGTGTAAATATTGTTTTTGCAAGAAATCGGAGATTGTTTTGAGTCAATAATTCCTTAATATTGACGAGAAAATACTAGTTATAAGTGAAATAATCTGCCGGTGGAGCAAGAGATTTCACCCAACTTATAATGCGTTATATTAATAATAAGCTTCATTATTCTTACTTATAATGTGGGAAAAACGTCTTGTTTTACTAGCAAATTTATTATGATACTTATAGCAAGTATTTTTTCAGCAATATTAAGGAATTATTGGCTTAAAACAAGCTTCTGTTTCTTCCTGAAAAGTTACTTGTAAGTCAGTTTTGTCTGGGATATTTCCACTACAAATTTCCACATACTTGGTTAGACTTTGTTTTTGTAGTGCATCACCTCGACGAGATTAACATAAAGCATAAAAATTACATTTCAGAGTCAAATGATTTCTCCCTCCCCCTCCAGGATCATTCCCTCCTCCAGATGGCCAGAAGGAGGCAGCTTCCCGGCAGATGACCCTCGACCCCGTGTGGCTGTGCATGGTCCAGTCGTTTGCTTTCGCCTCCGGCTACATGTGGTACAACGTCCTCCAGTACCTCTACTGCTGTTTATTTTGAGCGCGCGGACGAGCCGGGAGTCTTTATCGGACCACTGGAAAAGCCTCAGGATCAGTCGCCATGTGTGTGTGTGACCCGACGTCACACTTTAACCCCCTCCCTGTTCCCTTCGCCTCCTTTCTTCTACGATGGATGAATGTACATCTGCAGCATTGGAGAGACCTGACAGGACTCGAGGAAAACAAACTAAGTCATGAACACAGATTTCAAAAGTCCATAAAATACGACAACGGTCACACGGATAGGCAACTCGCACACAGACCCAACGCCACACACTCGCTCCCCTCACCGTTCACATTTTAATGTTTACACGTTCTCATACATGTAGACACTTACATGACTTTTAGTGGAAGGCGACGAAACGAGGCTCAGGACCGGACTCGCTCCCCCCTCTCCGAGGCTTCAGCCGTTGTAGTTTTTCAGAGTATGCAGTACGTCTGGACATGTCCGTTCGACTAGAAGCTAAACGCCCTCACTCTTCTTCCTCGCGAGAGTCGCCGAAGACGCCCCCCCCCCCCTGGACCTCTCTTTGAGCCCGCCGATGATTCAGCTGGCTACACGTTGCAGGGCGGGTGGCTGTTTAAATGTTGAGGCGACGCAGCCTTCATTGCACTAAGGATCCATACTGCCCTAACTGCTCCCCGCCCCAGGAAAGACTTCGAAATGGTAGCTGTCAATCGTTTAATTTATTTTTAATTTCTTCCTTTTAACCCGCATATCTTCTCAACGACCGCCATTGTATTTGTTGTCTTTATTTTGGGGGGGTGGGGTATGTTGTTTTTAAATCATCAGGACTGTTTCTGTCCTTGTGTCTAATAATGTGGCAGAGCTTGCTGAAAAAAGTGGGATTATGTTTCTACTTCTGCTCAGAATCTAAAGGGATTGTGGCTGTGATTCGTCGCTAGATGAAAGAAGACGGGACTTACCAAAACATTTATTTTAAAATGAATAAAAAAAATGTTAAAAGAAAAAAAAAAGCTGAAAATTTAACTATGGAAAAAGTAGGAAAAGATGAGCAGACTGGTCATCTAAGATGTACAGCGCTGTGAAAAGTATTTTACCCCTTTTAGGCCTTTTTTATTTTCAGTTTTTTATTTTTATTTTGTCGCTTATGTTCCAGATCATCAAAAAAAAACTTGATATCAGACAAAGATAACCCCAGTACAAACAAACAATTGACTATTTGATTTATTAATGTGAAACTTAATATCAGCCATCAAATGTTGTTTTGGTCCATTTTCATTTGGAGATTTTTCATTTTTCATCTCAGCCACGTCGGATAATTTTCCAGCATGCGTTGCATATTTGAGATCATATCATATCATCAGTCCAGGCTTTGACTAGGCCACACTTTTCTTTTTTTTTTTTTGGAGTCATTTAGAGGTGGGTTTATCTCAAGTGTGTTTGAGATGAGGTGATGAACGAACCAAATTTAGCTGTTCAAATTAATTATGTAAAGTCGTATTTGACAGCTTGTTTTCCAAAATGCTACCAGGTTTGAATCATGTGTAAGAAGACGCACATCTTCCCAAAGGTTAGATTTCTTTTGTCTCAGGTTCATAGAATATTTTCTCAAAAGTCTTGGGGGAAGTTCAAGATTTCTTTTGTCAGTTTGTAACAGACCTTTGTGGTCTTTGTGGTGCGAAGCATGACACGTTTTGTCCGTTCTCCTCATTATTGTTGAGTACTGAATATGAACCTTTACTGAGGCAAGAGAGGCCAGCTGTGCTTTAGATGTTCGCTAACTTCCTGGATGAGTTGTTGACGCATCTTTGGAGTAATTTTAATACATCTGGGGAGCTTCTGCATTTGTGAATATTAAATTTCGCTGTAGTTTGGAGTACCAGAAATGAAACAAGCACTGTAAACCTTTTTGGGTTGATGGAAATCTGTGACTTTTTCTATGAGATAATCCAGACGACTTCATGTTCCACCTCCAGTGGTCAAATTTTTATTCTTCAGTCAATCCCTCACAGCCGAGTGAGGAAGGATCAATGCAATCAATCACTGTTTATTAATTCTTAAAAGGGAATCAATTACATCCCAAAAATGCAAAATCTTACAAGCTGTTTTTTGCCTAGTTTCTACTGCAAATAGAGAACTTGAAATAAAACAAAACTAACTTACAAGTGAGGTCAATAATTCCTCAATATTAAAATCCTAGTTTTCGCATATAACATGGGAAAAATGTCTTGTTATAAGTGAAAAAAAAATTACCTTTTTAAATCAATATTAAGGAATTATTGACTTAAAACGAGCTCCTATGTCTTGCTGTTAGTTTTGTCCTACTTAAAGTATGCTAAGGCATTTGCACTAGAACCTCGATGAAAAATACTTGGTAAGATTTCCTATTTTTGCAGAGTTCTTTTTAACCGAGGTCCATGTTCATTGGGTTCGCTCTTTCTCTTGAATAAAATTGTTGTTTGAAATCTGATTTTTATATTTATTCGGGTTATCTGTCTGATATTAATGTTTGATCTGAAGCATTTAGTTGTGATTTAAAAAAAATAAATAAATCTGAAACGGGTAAAAGAAAATCGACAGCACTGCCCCTCGTGGGTTCCTCTGTTTACCCGTCAACGCTGCAACTCACACACACAAAAAATACTTTCATGTTGCTGGAGGATATTAAACTTCTGTCCTGACAGTAATTTCAGCAAAGCTGAATGGAGAAAACAGATATTTAAGCCATATAAGACTTGTTGTTGGCGGTGAGAGAGTGCATTTTCTTTCTTGATTTTATAGAAAGCTACCCTAATGTTTAGCATTCTACAATAGAGATTTTGGCATACAGAGTTATAGGTGTCATAACTGTAAATTTACAGCATAACCTGCCTAGATGAGTGTGTGTGTGGTCGTCTTTACCCCTCATTTTTATATATAAGACTCATGTCGTGTTGCTCTGTGACGTCACATTTTGAGAACCGTTTCACCTCCAGTGGTCAAATTTTTATTTCAAATGTTTTTATTTTATTTTATTTTTTATTTAGATTACGTGGACAGTTTTCTTTTCTCCATGTCATGCTATGTTTAAATCTTGTACATAACAAAGTTGAGAAAATGTTAGAAATGACTGCAGTGTCTCTCATTGGTGGTCCATGATCATTAAAAAAAATATTATTTTGAAATATGAATGTTTAAGGAATAAAAAAAAAAAGAAAGGCTTTTACCTTAACTTTACAGTATTACCCTGTATTTTACTTTATTTTTTTTATTTTGTATTTTTTGGAAATGTGCTTATAAAGTTATGGCTGCTGTACCTCCATGTGTGCCGCAACACACAGGGGTCCGGCTGCAAACTGTTGAAATAATGAATATTTAGAAGAAGAGATCTCAAGCCTTACCGGACGTGCCGGTTGAATACAATCTCAAATAATGCTGTTTCCTCTCGACACCTTTTGGGTTTGGTGTACGTTTCTGAAAAATGATTATGAGGTGACGAAGTAAAACCGAGTGAGGAAGGAGCAACCGTCACAAACAATTGAAGCTCTCTCGAATGTTCCCGTGTCGTGGTTTTTTTTTGAAAAAGGTATATGTAACTTTCGTGGAGGAGCAGAAGTTATCAATGTCAAACTAATGCAAAAAAAAAAAAAAAAGGGGCATTTTAGTTGCTGCCCTCCTGCTGTGCCACTGTTGGTAAAAACTGTGTGAAAAACAAACAAAAAGGGCTACCTGATTAGGTAGGTGAAAACATTTTGAATCAGACTGTAAATGTGTTTCATCCACTGTCCCCCTCAGATTCCCCTCCATTGTGAGAGTGACTTGAAATGAAGCATAATCTTACTGCTTTTATTTTTTATTTTAATTTCAATGTTTTCACTATGTTTCCAAAGAAGGCAGGGGAAATGTTTTCCAAGATGTGGTTTTAGGAAATGAACACAATAGGGATTAAAACGTATAATGCTAGAATTGTCTCTGATTTTCCATTTTGTACTTCTCCTTTTAATTCCTAGCTGCACAGCCATTTTACAACACAAACAACTTGTGCTGGAATAAAACATCATAAAGATCCTAACATTGTGCATCTCTTTTATTATTCTAGTCTATAATATTCTTATTCTGATGGTGCCATAAGCTTTATCCTCTTCCTTGATGACCATGCCTGCCTTAATGTATTTTAAGAATAATTTGCAATTTTTTTTACTATGATCTTATGTATTTTCAATATATAATCCACAGATAAATATGTATTGTACTAGTTATTCCAGTTAAAAGTTAATGGTATTCAGTTTTTGTGCTTTTCATAATCTCTTATTTCAAGTATCTTGAAAATTGCTTGAAATATGTTAAATAAATGTCGAAAATATCTGGGTAAGTGTACAAAAATTTATATATACTTCCATAAATGCTAGCCTCCAAAGTAATGGGTAAACAAAACTAGCATAAAAATGTGTTTAAATTGTAGAAAAGGCATGTTCTAATGAAACATTTTGACAGTATCATGTCAGTCTTATACACACCCCTTCAAATAAAGTGTTACCGTAACTATATATATATATATATATATATATATATATATATATATGTGTGTGTGTAAAATGTTTGCTAAATTGCCACAAAATGTAGCTGGGAAAGCTAATGGGCAAAATTAGCATTATAATCCATTTCTATATGAAAAATATTAAAACCACCACCCTAGAGCCTTTTCCCCATCTGCCACTTGTGTGTTAGACCTATAAAATATTTATTTTGCTTATCATTGTGCACAATGATCCTTAGAATGAGATCTTCTTGCAATCCATGAATGTAATCAAGAGTTAATGTCTGGTAATATAATAATTTTCAATTATATTTTAGCACGTTGCTCCTTAACATGGATCATTTTACTGTTTACAATCCCTTTAAAAAAGATTTTTTTTTTTTTCCAAGCCATGCTTGAGCTTCACCAAAGTGCAGAAAATTCATTGATTTGTACAAATGTTGAGGCCCCAAAGTAGTGAGTGTAAAGCCGCGAGAAGAATCCAGGATTTGAATTTGTCGACTCCTATGGTGTCCTTTCACGTAATGTGAGGCCTGAAGTTTTCAGAGAACTGGTTTTGACTGATCTCAGCATAAGCAGAGCTTGCTCTTGCTCAGTCTTGTTCCTGTTATTTAACCATCCTGTCAGTTTAAGCTGTTTAAAGTGTCTGGGTTTTGTTACATAGCTCCTATTTCAGGCGTTACCTCAAGCAGGGACTTGGCAGGATGTCTGCTTGCACCCAGTGCATTAGTAGAACTGTTAGTTATTGTTACTGCATTATATTAATTAATTGCATCATATTAACTCGTTTTTTTTCAGTGTCTGACTTCTTAAAACTCTTAGTTGGCAGTTTATGAAGAAGATCATTTGAACCTTGAATCAATTTGAGTGACAGCACAAGGTCAGGCCTGCAGAAAAGCCAAACGCTTTTGGGCAGCAAATGAGAACTGAGGCTGAACAGCAGGAAGTGAGCTGGAAAATAGGATTAAATATGCACCGAGGTTTACCAAAACAGTCAGGAGGCAAGGCAGGGTGGCTGCTCTTCCACATGGTCTGCTTATGGAGGAGGAAGAACAAGAGGAGGAGGAGGAGTTCTCCACACATGGATAACCAAGGTCACCCACATGGCACAGACAAATAAATTTCAAGACTGGCTTTTAATGTCCGCTGCAGACACACCTGCTTTGATGCCCGGACACCTGCGCTGAACTATTTCATGGGAGCTGCTCCCCGAGGTCCTCAATGTCACGCTTTAATGCCTCGGCCATCACGAACGCTTCAGAGAGGACAACGCTCCCTGAGTCAGCGAGCAGTAAAACATCCAGCTGTGGAAAAAAAACCAGGGCCAGCCTGAATGTCACTGCAGCAGCCGCTCTTGTAAAACTCCATGAACGTGTCTCACACGCACCTATTTCTGGTTTGCAATGAAAAGTATCATTTTTACGGCATTGACCAGTTTAATGTGACTTTCACTGATGCTGCAGGATGTAATAATCCTGGGT